CTAGCTTCAAAACCGCTTCCGGCGTCTTTCGGACAATCGGACTACAAAAGGTGAAAACATAGTTCTTCGAGGGAACCTCCATGCACTGATCTTGGCGACAAGTCGAACCGCACGTTGCACAAAGGATCAGATCCCAACGCTTGCAATCGTCGTAATCTCGCCCATACCGACAGCGACACTCTTCAGCGTCACACTCCGAAGGACGTTCCAACTGATCGTTGAATACATTCGGTTCCAGCTCCCACGAGGCATCCCTCGAACAATTAAAATAAAATATTCAGTATTCAAATACCGATTCACCCACCTCCGCCGCTTCGCTTAATTTTCCGGAATATAAATGCCACGCTGATGGATCTGCAGACTAAAGTCGTCCTTGTTGCACAAAGGGCAATTGAAAAAGTACCTCGCCGATTGGGCAAACTGTGCCACGTAGCTCCGATGGAACCAGCCATTCTGACAGCACGGGTCACGAATCGATTCCAGCTTCCTGTACGGTCCCATATCATCGTAGCAAATCCCACAGGCTTCGGTCTCGGAGTGTTTCACCTTATCCACCAGCGCTACGTGCTTATCGCACCACGACTGGAACGTTTCCACGTAATGCGACAGGCACTCATTCTGCATCCCACAAAGCGTATGGAATGAACGGAAGCACTTCTTCGCGCAACACCAAACGTTTGCATACCGTTCCTTGCAGATGTAACACTTTTGTCCTCGGATACGAGCTTCCTCATTTCTGATGTCCTCCTCCATGAATCCGAAGATTCCCTCCTCGTCTTCAGGTAACAAGGTACACGTAGCAGGTATAATTACTAGTTTTGCCACGTCTAGTAGCCCGGTCCAGAATAGAGCATCGCACCATCGTACCGCAATCATGCTCAAACGCGTGACATACAGCATCTTTAGCCGAAATAAATAATAAATTGAACAAAATTGGTTTCATCCGATCCTCCTTCATTCTCACCATCTCACCTTCAGCACGTCGATCGATTCGATGGATTTCGGCATGATTTTGGAGTAAATTTTCCTTCTTCAGATCGCCCTCGTCGAAAGCTTTCAGTTCCTCTACGGAGGAGCAAATGCATACCGAGTATGGCCACCCGAAAAATAAAATAATTATAATAAAATAACGAAATTACAATGATTTTTACGGTTGAATTTCGGGCACATTATAAATTTATTGTTAAATTATTGGACGGGTGAAAAAATAAATTTCGTTTTAAAAGATACAATTCTCAATGAAAATTAATTTGATGATATCATATTTGTTCGAGAAAAATCAGTTTGTTTTTTATTGTTAAGATGCTTAACAACCCCCCTTTTTTACTGTACATTTCTCATATACCATGATTTTCGTTTTGATTTTATGATAATCAACAAAAATCTCCATTCCAAATCATTGTATTTTTATTGGATTTTTTTACGGGCGGGTCCTGTTTGGCGTCCAACAACGATATCTTCTCGGTCGCGAATGACCATGGCTTTGGTTAGGAGCACCGACTGATGAAATCTTTAGCAACAATTGCCGCCAAAAAGCGCGAGTCATTGACAGCTCAACATCGTTTATTTGTAAGCAAATATTAACCCGATGTGTTTACTCCTAATCATTTTGGCCTAAGGTCTTTCATTATACAAAAGAAGTGCAGATAACAATGAACACAACATAGTGACATGCAGTTTGACAACAGGCTCTCCCTTTCAATTTTCGTTAGAGAAAAAGAGATAACAGGCGGTGCCCCAATTAGGTTTTGCACCGTCGGGGTTAACCTCAATCTGATGACAGTTTAGTGGTACTGTTTACGTGGACTTAGCCGATTTTTTCTTGGGTGGATTTTCTCGATAATTTTTCAGACTGCAGTGAGATGTAAACCACATTTCTGCAATGTTCACGAGCAACATCCTTGCAATGCGCTGTTCCTCGACAATTTTCAAGTTAAAATTCGGAAATTTTAGAATTTTTTTTTCGAAAAAAACGACTAAGTGCTCGTAAACAGTACCACTGAACTGTCAAAAAGGTTCAGCCGATTAACACTGAGTTCATTCGTGACGTCACGCTGCAGAACCTAATAGCATCAACTACTTTAAGCTAGTACATATGAGTAGATAGTGTTGCCGTGAGGTACACTCGAAAATTTCAAATGTAAGTGCGTCAAACCAAATTTCGAGCCGCTCCGTCTGTCACTTCGTTTGTGGTGGTACTGTTTACGTGGACTTAAACGCTGTCCAGACTGGAGAGTTATAACATGTTATAACGGTTGTCAAATAATTGCAACACAGAAACCACCATCAAGATAGCGCTATAACATGTTATAACTCTGTAGTCTGAACGTACTATTAGTCGATTTTTTCTTGGGTGGATTTTCTCGATAATTTTTCAGACTTCAGTGAGATGTAAACCACATTTCTGCAATGTTCACGAGCAACATCCTTGCAATGCGCTATTCCTCGACAATTTTCAAGTTAAAATTCGGAAATTTTAGAATTTTTTTTTCGAAAAAACGACTAAGTGCTTGTAAACAGTACCACTGAACTGTCAAAAAGGTTCAGCCGATTAACACTGAGTTCATTTGTGACGTCACGCTGCAGAACCTAATTAGGTTCTGCAGCGCAGCGTTGCCAGATATACCGATTTATCGGTATTTATACCGATTTCCGAACTAGATACCGATATACAGATAAGGTTCCTCAGAATACCGATTTTTGAGGTGTTATACCGATTTATACCGATTTAAAATAAACAAAATGATTATTGCCTGCCTGCGCTAAGAATTTCGGAGAAAATTATTGTGTGAGACTTGTATCTTTTTGAATATCTCAAATTTTTTGTCTTTAAAATTAAAAAAAAAATCATCTTCAAAAATGTCGTATGGAAACTCTTTCGATTAATGTTTCAATTTCCTCACCGTTTTTGCATTCCGTGAATCGGTAAACAGTCGATGGCTCTTTCTGGTAATTTCGGGGGGATCGGGAAATACTTTTTAAACATTATTTAACTTCCTGGATTTTCTTCCAGACTTTTGAGTGAGTTTCGATAAGTTAAAGAATGTTTTAATAACTTCTGTTAATATTATAAAATCCGGTAAAGCGAACACCAGTGAACTTAAGGAAACTTCATAAATATTTTGGATACTTCACAAGTTTAAAGAACTTCTGGAAAATTTAATGGTTTTCAGAACACTTCCATTAGTTTCAGGAGAATTAATTAAACTTTAGGAAGCTCCGAGAACATCAGGACAATTAGATCAGATCAATAAATTTCAAGGAAATCGTAAATTTTAAAGGAGTTCTGAGAAACTCAGGCAATTTCCGAAAACTACAGCAATGTTCCGAAGGGCTCATGCAAATTTAAGAAACATAAGCGAAGTCACACGAACATTAAGACATTGTGAGAACATTTTATGGGAAGTTTCGTGCTTTTAAATGGCAGTGTTGATCACTTTTAAAAATTAGAAAAATCGGGAAGATCAGGAACTTCAATGCTGATGTTACAATAAATTCAAGAAAATTGTGAGAGCACTAAAGAAATTTCGTAATCTAAAAGAAAGTCTAAAGACCTTCAAAGTTGATTACAGATATTCCGGTAGTCTCATTATAATCAGGGAAGTTCCAAGTATTTCAAAGATGATCAGAGCACTCCAAAACATCCCGAGGAAATATGGAATATTCCTAAGTACATTTCAGGAATGTTCCAAAAACTTCAGGGGCATTGCGGGGTCTTCAGGGATATTTAATGACCATTTGGAAAATTTTCTGGATCATTAGAACATTCCCCAAGAGCTCTTTCTTCCAGGAGTATGTCCTTGTTTCTTTCGGCTGTTCTGTAAGCGCTCTGGCTTTCGCCTTTCTCCAGAATTTTTTTTTCCAATCTACCTTAGGAAGTTTCTTCCGTTTGCTCCAGGAAGTTCAATTAAACTTCTCCCAGAAATTTCATTCGTCTAGTTCTGGAATTTTGTCCAGTTGGTTTTTTTACTTCTTTTGGAAGGTTTTTCCGAGTTTCTTCTGGCTTCCCCTAGAAATGGCTACTTTTGGAATTTATTTCCGATTTCCAAAACTTTTCTGTCTTCCTTTGGATGAGAAATCCGAATTTTTTCTGAAAGTTTCTTTGAATTTTCGCCAGAAGTTTCTCATTTTATGTATTGGAAGTTCCGCGGATGCTTTTCCGACTTCTTTCAGAACTTTCCTCAAATTTCCTCCAAGAGAGCTTCGTTCCTCTTTCTCTGGATGTTGTTTTCAGCTTCCTCCAGAAGCTAATTCAAGCATTCCCCGGAATTTTCTTCCGGAATTATCCGATCATAGTCCAAAAGTTAAAATTTTCGCTTTCAAAAACGGCAAAAATATAAAATTAATTGAAATAGAAAATACCGATAAATACCGTTTTTTTAAAACCTTTGATACCGATAAGCTTTAAAACATTCTGGCAACGCTGCTGCAGCGTGACGTCACAAATGTCGTTTTTTCGAAAAAAAAATTCTAAAGTTTCTGAATTTTAACTTGAAAATTGTCGAGGAACAGCGCGTTGCAAGGATGTTGCTCGTGAACATTGCAGAAATGCTGTTTACATCTCACTGCAGTCTGAAAAATTATCGAGAAAATCCACCCAAGAAAAAATCGACTAAGTCCACGTAAACAGTACCACTGAACTGTCATCAGATTGAGGTTAACCCCGACGGTTCTGCAGCGTGACGTCACAAATGAACTCAGTGTTAAACGGCTGAACCTTTTTGACAGTTCAGTGGTACTGCTTACAAGCACTTAGTCGTTTTTTCGAAAAAAATTTCTAAGGTTTCTGAATTTTAACTTGAAAATTGTCGAGGAACAGTGCAGTGAAAGGATGTTGCTCGTGGACAATGCAGAAGTGTGGTTTACATCTCACTGCAGTCTGAAAAATAATCGAGAAAATCTACCCAAGGAAAAAAACGACTAAGTCCACGTAAACAGTACCACTGAACTGTCATCAGATTGAGGTTAACCCCGACGGTGCAAAACCTAATTGCAAAAACAAAAACGGCATTAATGTCATTCTAATCAGATAGGTTCAGATAGATTTTAGTAAATACATATAAGAAAGGATACAAAAACTATGGGTAAGCTTAGTTAAATTAAAAAAACAACATGAGTAGTCTATGGGTTACAAAACAATAATGCTTTATTTGTGTACTTACCCACAGCAAGAATGGAAGTAATCGTAGATGGTTTACAAGACAATCCATGCTGCCATCATGGTCCAACGGTGCTGTTTCGTAAAACCGATCTAAATAATGTTACTATTGAAAAATACTACGCTTGTACTGCAAGCCGCGATGGGAAATGCCCATTTAAAGTAACAGCTAGCAAAATTGGAGCTTTTCAAAACGGAATCCTGCACAATGAAGCTGAAAGAGACAATTTTACGGAAAAGTATGATGAGGTAAGTCTTGCGCTAGTAAATATGTCAGGAAGATTTGGTAGCATACTAATTTGAATTTGAAAGCAGTATAATTTCCTGAGATAATGGTAACTGCTTATTAATATTTCTCATTTCTTTAATAAATCGATTTATAAAACTTCAGACATTTGTCATGTTGATGTAGTCGTCAAATTTTGAAATAAAACAAAATATATGAGCGCTGTTTAATTCCTACTTTAGCTATGCAAATTAACGGGTTCTACGGTAATATATTTATATAGCGTTTTTCTAGCGAAATTACCCTAATAAAAATTTACATTAGCCCAACGTTTGATTTTGATGTCTACATCAGCATCGAAATCAAATGTATTCGTGATGTCAAACATTAGAAAACATTATGATTTTGTTGTATTTATGCAAGGTAACATGGTGTATACATCAGAAATTTTGGAACAAAATTTTGCTATTCTAATGTCGCTCTGACGTCAAGAATTTCAAGCTTTGACATTAGAATCAAACGTTTTAAAGATGTTTTCGGATGTACAAAACGTTGTTCGGATGTTTTTATATGTATGTTCGGTGATGTTTTTAGATGTACAAAACGTTTAAAGTAAACGTTGTTCGGATGTTTTCAAATGTAGATGTTTTCTAATGTTTTAGATACAGCTTTCCCCCGAAGAACGCGTTACCCACTGAGTTGCACCCACCACTCTGATTTTCTGCGAGTGACTAGTTCTCCATTGACCCTACTCACATGCAAAAAATCAGACCGACTGGTTGAAACCCTGCCGAGAAAAAGCGGTGGGTGCAACTAAGTGGTAACGCGTTCTTCAGGGGATAGCTGTACACCCATATTCTCGTTTATGTCTGATTATTTTATTATTTTATTTATTTGATTTTGTGTGGTGAATGGGTTTTGGGTGTGATAATATGAAGTTTACGTTACGATAACGTTGAAAAATTGATAAATGTATCGCTTCAGTTTGAGAAGCACTTCACTTCGCAATCGATGAACCATTCTGACGCATTGTCACGTGTGGGGTTTTTCGATTTTTACTGGAACGATAATACAACACATTAGAAGTAGAAACATGATCGTGTAAATACTACACACCATTGTTGTTAGATAACATCATACAAATGCGTACATAATAATCATTGCTAAAGCTCCCGTTTCCCACCAGTCAGTTAACTGACCTTAGGGGCTGTTCATAAACTACGAAAAATTGTATGGACACACTGAAGTCTGCATACATTAAGGGTACGGCAATACACGTTAAAATTTATTGTTTTTTTTTAAGGTGTCTGCTGCTACATTACAATTTCTAGTCGGGTAGCAATCAACTTTCACATAAATAAATAAATCAATTAATACCAAGAGGTGGGCACTAAAACCGCTAACTGCTAAATCATACTTCGGGAAAATTAATCATTATGTTTTCATATGTTAATAATTTCAGATTGAAACGAATGTTTGAACAGTTGTGTGGTTATTACCCAGTGGTAAAATTTTATTGATTTTTTTAATTTCAAGTTCATCAAATTAGGATGTGATTTAGCGATTAAATCACTAATTCACTACCGCTAAATTACACTTTAGGTCAATTCACTAAAAACCGACACATGATAATGAATTATCATTACCACTGTTGAATAGCCTGATATCAAGTGTACAAAAATCCGATTCAATATGAAATAACTAACGTTTGAAAAATGAATGATTTTCGAAAGTATGATTTAGCAGTTAGCCCTTAATGTGCCCACATCTAAAATACAAACAAATAAACCACATGCCTTACAAAAACTGTTTAACCTTGTTTTATCCCTTTAAATATTTCCAGATTCGCAACGAACCCGTTTCTCTAAAAGTATACTGTATACAGTGCCAACAGCTGCTGTTGAAATCCAGATTAAAAGGTCACGAAAATCATAAATTGTTTGATAAACTCTCAGATGATATTTTACGACAACCCACACGATTTCTGGCACCGTTAAGCATGGATGGGAACGAAGCACAATATTTTTTCAGTGATTCTACATTGACATGCCTGGAAACCATTCTTAAAGAACTTAAAATAACAAAAGTTATTTGTATGGGAGCTCCAAGACTTCATGAGCATCTGCTTTCGAGGACTGATATCCAGTCTTTATTATTGGACATTGACAATCGCTTTCATTGGTTCTATGATGAATCTTTCTATTTACATTACAATATGTTCAATCACTTCTTTTTCAATCGAAAAAGAGCAGAAAGCATTTTTAACAATTTTTTAATGACAAATGGGTAGGTATTAAATATGATACACACTTGATATTCAAATCATGTTATATTGTTTTCAGTTCAACCGATCAGATCTGTATCTTCACTGATCCACCGTTCGGCTGCCGAACAGAGCTGCTCGCGAACACTATTCGTAGAATAAATCAGCTATACAATGTCATCAACCAATTTACTCAGCAAATTTTACCATCGTTTTGGATCTTTCCATATTTTATGGAGACCTACATACAAAATGAATTGCCTTCCATGGAAATGTCAGACTATCAAGTCAATTACACTAATCACCGTACTTATCACAACGGCGAAAAAAGTTTGAAAAATGGATCACCTGTCCGTATTTTTACCAATATACCATTGGATACATTTCATCTGCCATCTAAAGAGGGCTACAAATGGTGCTCAGAATGCCATAAAAGTGTACATAAAACTAACCAGCATTGCTTTAAGTGTGGAAAATGTGCGTCGAAAAACGGTGCAACTTACCACCATTGTACCAAATGTAACTGGTGTGTAAAACCAAACTACAAGCACTGTAATACATGTGGTCGATGTACACAGGTACAAGGACATATATGTTCTTCCTATAAGAAACAACTAACATGTCGCATTTGCTTGAAGAAAGGACATGCGGAAAACGAATGTACTATTTGGCGGTCTTTTAAAATCAACAAAATGGCGAAAACGGGATGTATGGTATGCGGCAGCAAACATCATACTGTTAATGCTTGTGAGAAGCGAAAACGGATACTTGAGGAGAGATATTTCCTCGGACGTTATTATAATGCAATAAACTGCGCCAAATAAAAACACTAAAAGATAAAATATACGTTTCACATTTGTTATAAATATCACAGACCAAATTTCTAAAAGTAGGTAGGGGAAAAGTTGGCTTCGGCAATACCTTAACCTATTATCGTCAGGGGGTAAACAAAGTCCTAGAGCACTCAAATTTGGCCAATAGTTGCTCTGAAACACAATGTATCCACATGCCAAAATTGAGCTCTCAAGGACGTTGTTTACCCCCTGACGATAATAGGTTAAGGTATTGCCGAAGCCAACTTTTCCCCTATATTATTTTTCATTTACTCGCGTCGATGTTTTTCGTGTAAAACTTAAAATTATCATTCAGAAACGATAAATAACCATTTCATTTTTGTTCGATTTAATTATCGTCACGATCACAATATTTCCACCACATTGATCTGAAAAGAAACAGTCATGCTCGATAGGCTCCCGCAAGTGACGGGTCAAATTGGCTCCCGTCCTTGTCTCCGCCAGCACATAACTGAAATAACTAAGAAGAGGGGTGAGTCGAGGTGATGTGAGTAACCAATAAAACACTCATTCCGTTGATGGTTGTACAAATTCTGAACTAATATAACTTTAAATGATCTCTATTTCGTGTATTTGTGTGGGTTACAAAGTAAGTTATCAAGTGACACAGATGCGTCTTTTCAACTTTAGCTCTTTTGAAATTTCAATGATTATTAGTTACAGGCCTGTTTTAGAGAATGACCAGCTTGGTGGGATTGGTTTGTTTTAAATTGAAAAAAAAGGATACTACTTATAACTACTATTTACAACTACAACTAACCTACAACTACTATATACACCTAATCTACCGTTATACGCATAAGAGTCCCACGGTACAGAAGGATTGCATATAACATGGAACAGTTATGCGTATAACGGCAGTAATCTACTATATACAAATTGCTTATCAAAGCATGTTCTGATATAGGTATCACTTTTTTGTGCAATTTGTTATTTGTGGAAGAGGTGAACAAAAGAATACTTGCAAAGCATCTCGAGGCGGACAAAATGGTTGGAAGAGGCGAAGGCTCCGGAAGTGGCTGATCTAGTAGTCGTGGTGGATAAAAACGTACGTAACGAGGTCGCATCATTTCGGTGGTAACAGGACGTGATGGCCGCGTGCGACAAGCTGTCGTACAGACAACCAATGGAGTTCTTCGCCGTCCTGTGTGTAAGATTGCTGTGCTGGATGTGCAACCAAAGAGTAAAACTGAGCCGGAAGCGGACCGGGGTCGGGGAGTGTTGCGGACACTGGCAGCACTGCCACATCTACTCCTCGGTCGCAGTTGGTTCCCTCGGCATTGGAAGATCTCGCCTCTGCCTGACAGCTTATGTCAACACGATGGCAGCGCACTTGGGAGTAAACGTCATGACAAGGTCCCGTTTCCAAGTAAAACGTATAATTTTGTCTGTGGTATAATGCTCACAAGTTAATCAAATCACGTTTATTTAATTTGTTTTTTGTTGGATAATACTTTGGATACTTTAACGTAAGAACTACAATAATAATTTTAAAAAATGGATTTAAATGAATATGCTTTGCAGCTTAAAAAAAGGATAAATAGCGTCTTTTTCTGAGGAGGATCCGAACGAAACTCAACGATCCAACAACACCTAATCTATTATATACAAATTGCTTATCAAAGCATGTTCTGATATATTACATTTTTGTGCAATTTTAGTCTTTTTTATAATGCGTTTATTTTTCCAGTCTCATTTGCCGTAGCTTTGCGGAGCCGATATTCATTGTTTAGATTACAAAATTTCTTAAAACTAACATTTGTAAAGCGGGGGCCGATTACTCGCGGCTATCTCGAGGCTAAGGGTAACAAATTGTAACAAATGGATGGCAGGGTAGGGATTGAGAACACAAGGTTTGGAGAGCAATGTGCTCTTGATCTCGAACTACATCGGTACACCGATGGGCAGCTAACAACTTGGGGGAACACAAGATGACACTAACTATTAAATCCTCAGATCTATCCGTTTTTTTTGTCCCCATAGGATTGCAATATTGGGGTTGATGAGAAAAAATTTCAAGTGACTACGATGCCGGACGGATTAGTCTATGGTGACCAATTAAACACCGGATTCACGATCTTGATTAATCATAATCTTCTTGAAAATCTTTATGGCTCGGTAATCGCTGGTCTGTCTTTGTCTATGTCTTCTTCTCATTCGTACGTCAATTTTAATGTCTGGATGTTCTCTTGTCGAATGTCATGATGTGTTTGTGTATCTGTGTGTGTATCTGTGACCAAATGATTATATTTCTTCCTCATATCCTAAAACTGCGTTCAAGAATAATTAACCGATTCGGCGATTTGTCGATCAAAAATAGCGCCCACCTTAGCTAGCGAGTCCGCTTTTTCATTATCCGCAATTGAGCAATGAGATGGGACCCAAACTAAGGTGAAATTATAGGAGCAGTTAGATAAAGTACTAAATTTTGCTCGGATTTCGGTCAGGAAATACGAGGAGTGCTTCATCGGCTTCATTAATCGAATAGCCTCCAACGAGCTAAGGCTATCTGTAAAAATAAAATAGTGATCAGATGGTAGTGAGGCAATTTGCTCTACTGCGTAGAATATGGCTGCTAGTTCCGCAACGTATACGGAACAGGATTTTTGCAGTTGATATGAGGCGCTATGAAATTCGTTGAATACTCCAAATCCAGTGGAACCGACAAGATGGTTGTTCGATACAACCTGATCAGATCTTCCGGGTGTGCTCCCCACCAAGTTCCAGTAATTGTACGAAGAAAATTGATTCTTTGTTGGCATTTTTGTTTCACATACGCAATATGTTTTCCCCACGTGACACCTAAATACTTCTTCTTCTTCTTCTTCATTCCTTTATTTAACGTCGGTCTCTGTTCCGCAATCTAGTGCCAATCACCGACGAACATCGATTGCCATCCATTGACGGCAATCGAATGTGCAGGAAGGCAGCTTCCACACCTGCGTAGGATATTGCACCCATTCAACACACATGGGCCGGGACCAACGGCTTTACTTCCCTTCCGATGGAAGACGTGACCAGAGATTTTTATGCTTCAGAAAAATCCGACCGACCTCGGCTGGGATTGAACCCAGACCCATTGGGGTGTTAGAAAATAGTCACGCTTACCACTACACCACCGGCGCCGGCACGTAAATACTTGAAAGATATACTTTGAGTGATTATTCTACCGTTTAGTTGAAGCTGTAACTGTGCAGGATGATGCTTCCTAGAAAAAAAACAACCAACTCAGTTTTCTCCGGAGAGAATTCGATACCCAGCTTCATAGCCCAAGTAGACAAATTGACTAAGGTATCTTGCAATGGTCCTTGCAGGTCTGGTGCACTTGGTCCTATAACGGACACAACCCCGTCATCTGCAAGCTGCCTTAGCGAGCAATTTTCATCAAGACAACCATAAATGTCTTTTACATACATATATAAAGAAGGGGCTTAAACATGAACCCTGGGGGAGACCCATGTAACTAATTCGTGAAGTTTTCGAGTTTCCATGGGAAAAGCTCATATATTTCTCAGACAACAAGTTGCTCAAATAGTTGTTCATAGTTGGTGAAAGCCCATTATCGTGGAGTTTATCCGAAAGGACATCGATATAAACAGAATCAAAAGCCCCCTTAATGTCCAAGAAAACTGAACCCATTTGCTGTTTTTACGCATAGGCCAGTTGAAAGCAACGCAAGACAGTCGCTCGTTCCTTTGCCTCTCCGAAATCCAAATTGCGTATCTGAAAGTAAACCATTCGACTCGACCCATTTGTCTAGACGAAAAAGAATCATTTTCTCCAACAATTTACGTATCGCGATGGGACGGTACGAGTTATAATCCGACGCGGGTTTACCGGGTTTTCGAATGGCAATAACTCTTACTTGCCTCCAGTCATCCGGAACAATGTTGTGCTCCAGAAAATGATTGAATAAGTTCAACAAGCGTCTCTTCGTGACGTCTGGGAGATTTTAAGCAAGTTGAACTTGATTCTATCCATTCCTGGAGCTGAGTTGTTACATGAAAGGAGAGCAAGTGAGAATTCCACCATCGAAAAAGGGGAATCTATTTCGTTATTACTCGACGGACGATCACAAAAGTTGGTTTAAACCGACACCGAATCCGGACAAACTTTCCGTGCGAAGCTGAATATCCAACTGTCCGAGTACTCCTTGTCTTCGTTAATCGGTGATGACGCGTTTCGCATTCTCCTGCCAACATTTCAGAGTGTTCTCATGGAAGTCTCTCGCGATAAACCATCGACAAACCGACGCCAGTAACCGCGTTTTTTGGCTTTAGTCAAGCCCTTAAAGGCTTTCTCGAGGTCGGTGTACCGCTCGAAATCCTCGACCTTACCGTGTTTGCGGAAGCGTTTAAACGCGGCGGACTTCTCGCTGTTCGCGTCAGTGCAATCCTTATCCCACCACGGGGTGGGAGGTCGCTTGCGGACGGAAACACCCGGAACACGTTTCGTCTGTGCTCGCAGCGCACAATCGATGATAAGACGCGCGAGAAAGGAGTACTCGTCCAGTGGAGGAAGTATTTAAACCGATTGACTGGCATCAAGAACCGCGGTCGCGAATTTTCGCCAGTCTACGTTTATCGTAAGATCGTACGCGATGTCGACCGAGCGAGTAGAAGATGAACTATTGGTAATAGAAATTTTGATTGGCAAATGGTCACTACCGTAGGGATCTTGAATTACTTTCCGCGAGCAATCCAACGATAGTGAACTCGAACAAAGTGAGAGGTCTAATCTGCTTACTTTTGCTGGAGGTTTGGCTACTCGTGTTGCTTCCCCGGTGTTCAGAATTGTCATTTTGAAGAAGTCGCACATGTCGTATATCAAGGTTGAACGGTTGTCGTCGTACAGTCCCCCCCCCCACCCTGTACCGTGAGAGTTAAAATCTCCCAAGATCAACCGTGACTCCGGCATAGCCGTGCAGATATCCAAGAAACTTTGACGAGAAATCGCAGTTCTCGGTGGAA